ATTATTATTATTATAATTCTTGTTATTAAACTGGAGCAGATCATGCAAACTCCACTCAGAAGGGACCTCGGGACCAATGGACTGGGAGAAGAAGTGCTAACTGCCCTGCCACCGGTTTGACTTCCCTTATAATGTATTCCTTTTTATAAAAACGCTCCAAAACAAGGAACGTGTTTAATCCAAAAAACTACAACTTCCAGGGTGCATTGCGAGCACTTACCCACACGCCACTCACTAACGTCCTTTACCCGAAACTGATAGGTATTTCATCCAATACACAACGGTACAAGACGGTGGCACAACCAATAATAACCAAAGAAAAGAGGGACTTTCGGGAAGTTATGGTTTTGAGTGTCACATTGATTGTCAAATCTCCTGACAAGTCAGCAAAGGGAATACTTGCCTGACGGGCACTTTACCCTATCAGCAAGAAGAAAACAGGTGAGCTTCTAAAGTGGTTCCTCTATTAGTGATCGACAAGCCTTTTGTCGAATGAAACGAGAGCTTCTTTTGTATGACAGCGATATGATCCTATCACAGCAAGGCAGGATTAAGGCTTGGGGCCTGGCTGCGCCAATCAGAACGAGGGAATGGGAGGGAGGAAGGCGGGTGGGTAGCAACAGTTGCCCCGGTGAGGACGAAGCGCCATAGCCACGGTAGTCCTGGCGACAAGAACCCAGCAACGAGAATCAACAACAACAACCCGATTCCGTAAAAAAAAAATAAAAAATCCAACACCAAAAAAGCCCGGGGAAAAAACCCAGAGCAAAACAGAGGTGAATAAAGACTTTATTTCTCTCTCTTTTCTGCTGTTAGACAGTGAGCTGGTGAGGGAGAGTGGTGTGTGTGCCGCCCCGGAGCGGAGAGGTGCCGTGCGGGCCGCCCCGCCGCCCTCAAGCCCGGGCGGTTGTTATGACGATGTCAAATCCGTGATCGGGTACAAGATGGCGGGTGTGGCGAGACGCGACAGAGTACTTTTCAGCTGTTGTTGTGTTGTCAAGCCCTGTTGCCATACGGCCTTGAGAGAGGAGGAGGTGGGGGGACGGTCTCCATTCTCGAAAGAGGAAGCGAGGCTCGGTCAGCCGCCGCGGTGCGACACGCTGAACTTTGAAAAGTGTCTTCTGTCTTTTTGTATCTCAGTGACATACAGTTTGTTGTTGTTTTTTTCCTTTGAGTTATGAAAATGTCTACGACCGTTTTGCGTAGATGTGAGTTTTTTTTAGTTTTTATTTCTTTGTTGGCGACTGTTCCTTTCTTTGTATTTGTGCTTTTTAAAAAGTTTAGACGTCTCAGAAGCCGCGAGAGTCCAGAGACCGTGTGTTTGGCCGAACCTGCCTGGGCTGTCAGGGAGAGGAGTAACGTTAAGACGAGGCTTCTTGGGGCGGGGCGGTTAGTGGGATTGGCACCTGGGGCAGCCAATCAGTAAGAGAGAGTAGAAAGAACAGCCAATCGCAAGTAAGCAAGTGAAGGGTTCTCTCCCCCCCGTTGGAGACAAGAAAGGCAATGCGTGGTGTCACTCACCTGTCACGAGCGAAAAACGTTGAGAAAGGTGGTGAGTTTTTTAAATGACGTCACCCGCTTCCCCGAGAGCAGTTCGGTGCGACACGTGACACAGTAACGCGCCAAGACGCGTATATTACTTTTTAATGAATAAAATAACGGCTTAAATATCGTCCTATTTCCGAAGGAACACTCGCCACGCTTCGTCAAACGTTGCTTTTCTTAAGCCCAGGTGTGGAGTAAAGACTTTCTTTTAAAAATACCCTCGTCAATGTTTCTGTCGCTGTGCCATTGAAATAAAAAGTGTATTTCTGAACTACAAATAGTCTAGTGCTGAAAAGGCGCCACAGAAAAAAACTGCAGCTCTGCTGTGTCTCTGGTTTCCTGTTCCTGTGTGGTCTGTGGTAGCACAGTCCTGCCTCTGGGCTTTTCCAGTTCACTCTGTCCTTCAGTCTGTGAGCTGTCACGAGTAACGATCCTGTCTGAGGGCTGTCAATCACGAGTAACAGTCCAGTCT